CTAGAGGGAGGTGGCGTGATACTAGTCACGTGACCTCGCTGACGCAACAACAGGTAGAATTTAAAATAGAACTAAGTATAAGAGAAACTATTGAAATTGCAAAAAAAAAAAAAGTTATCATATTAAACAAGGAAGCTAGCCCAAATGTAGAAATAATAAAGTACTGAACAGATGTGAATTGCAATTCTGGGTAGTTTAAGTCTAGATAGTGTTTTGGTATGTAAATAATTATGTGGGTATATAAGTCCAACCTTGCCTTTACACATACAATGAATCTGAATCGACCCCAGAGACGTGGAAGTGGTATGCCAAGTAGCGGAGAGCGAGTTAGAAGTACTGCTGAGAGAGGGGTGAAGGAAGCAGACGAGCTTCGTCGGTATGTGAATGGTTCGGCTGATTCCTGCACCGTGGGTGAGTCGAATGGCATGGATTTGTTAGGGACTGTTCAAGTAAGAGAGTAAGATCTGATTCTGGCTCTAGTGAAGAATCTATCTGACACAAAAAGACAACTCAGAACAGAAAACAAATAGTCTTCCTTACTTCCCTGGACATCAATATAGCTAAGGTAAATCCCATGCTCTTGAGTAGAGCCTTTAACGATCTACTTGGGCCTACTGAAAATATTCAGTTACAAACGGATTGTATTAAGGTAGTTTGTTAATACTCACAGTCGAGATTATTGTGTCGAAATAAAAACATCCGTGGATACAAAATTCGTTCCCAAATTCAAGACGTTCCCCCACCTTCTGTTAGGGACATCATTCATGGTGTCCACCTCGAAGAGGACTGTACAACCATAGAGGGCGTTACAAAGGCAGTAAGAATGACGCGCTACAATAAAGACGTAAAAGTTAAAGAACCTATAAGTTCCATTGTACTCCATTTTTGTTTTTACTACAACCCTACATAAGAGAGTACATCTTGGCTTTTTGTGTTTTCCTGTTCGCGAATTTATCCCCCACTCGAAGCGATGCTTTAAGTGCCAACGTTACGGTCATATTGGAAATGTGTGCCGCAGTAATGTTCGGTGTTCGAAGTGTGACGAAAATCACAACGTAAAGAATTGTACTAAGCAGACTCCAGTATGTTGTTTATTTGGAGGTGAATATTCGGTAGCATACAAGGGCTGTGAAAAATTTCAAAGGCAAAGGAGGTCCAGGCTGTTAAAGTATAGTTAAAACGAAGCCCAAGCAGTTAAAATTGTTGCTCAGAAACGAAAATCAGTAGAAACAAAACGTCTGCTTTAAAGAACCACAGCAACCCCGTTCTTCTGACGAACGTAACGATAACATTTCCCAAAAGAATAGTGCTTATAATAGCCCTCGTATGTCACCTCAACTATTTGAACAACTCGTTACTTTCGTAGGCAAAATAATTTCGATTGCTCAAGACCAGTTCTTTTGGCATAAGAATTGCATAAAATCGAGAATATCTTTCATAACCGAATTGGCAAGTACCATTTTTGGTTTTGATATTAATCCAGAATCAATTTATGAACTCTACCAAGTAAGTTCACCTACAAATAAACAATAGGTCCTTTACAAATAGTACAGTGGAATGCCAGGGGTATTAAGGCTCGTGC